GAGAAAGAGAGAAAAATCCACTGCGTTTTCTCCAGCTTCTGCCCCACCACCGAGCCACCCCTTTTTCATGGGATCTCTCTAACTTACTCCTCTGGCTCTGTCTCCCTTCCTCCTCTTATACATTTTTTTATCAACGTGTCTCGCTCTTTTGCCCGCTCTCCACGAGGCCCATCCAACGCCATCCACTCGACCCTACTTATTTCAATAGCTTTCTCCTTGCCTCGTTTGAATAAACTACGTCTACTGCACACCCCTTTCGCAGACGCCCGCTCATCCGGCTCGTCGAGCCGCGAACTCTCTTACGAATCTCGTTCGTCGGATCTCTTCATTCTTTTTTCTTCTTATTTTTCATTATTGCATATATTTCATTTTACCTCCTTGGGGAACGCGGGTGTTTGTGTGTGGGTGTGACGGTGAGGGGACGATCGAGGTATGAAATTTTGTTTAATGTGGGAATCTGGGTTATTCACACGCAGGGGGATACTACATCGTTAGAGAAAAATTGAAATTTCGGGGACAGTTGACTGGTAATTCTCCGGAGAGATACATTGAGTTTTATTTAGGGGAAAAATCATGAAAGTTTAGATTCCTCTGAAATCGGTATGAAATCGGGAATTCTTGAGCAACTGGGAGGCAAAAAATCTGCGACGACAAGATTTAAGGATATATTTACCTCAATTTTCCTTATTTTTATTTATTTTTATGGAATAATTAAATTGGAATTGACGCTTTCTATAGATTTTGTCATTAAATTTTGAATTTTCAATTACGAAATTCTTTGAAATTTCAGGGGAACTATAATGTGAGAAAAATTCCCAAGAAGTATACCAAAAACTTCAATCAATATTTTTTAACAATGTAGTGTTCTAATTCAAAAAACAATTAATTAGAGACTTCAGGTACATCTTTATTTTGGAATTACTGCTGGATGTAAAAGCAAATACTCGGGTGTATTCGCTACCCATAAATTCTCATATCTCATGAGACTCTACCCTCGAATATATTTCATTTTCTGTTGGAGGTGAGGAGGCTGTACGTAGAATTTTCAATTAATTAAATATTCAAGAATATATTGACCCAAATGTTTCTGATTTCGATGAATTTTCATTGAATTATTGCATCGGAATTTATAACAGTCATTGATTTTTCTAGAGACTTCAGCCGATATTTTTTAACAATTTCGTTTTCTAATTCAAAGAACAATTAATTAGAGACTTCAGGTACGTCTCTGTTTCGGAATTACTACTGAGCGTAAAACCAAATACTCGGATATATTCGCTACCTATAAATTCTCATATCTCATGACACTCTACCCTCGAATATATTTCATTTTCTGTTGGAGGTGAGGAGGCTGTACGCATTATTTTCAATTAATTAAATACTCAAGAATATATTTACCCAAATGTTTCTGATTTCTATCAATTTTCATTGAATAATTGCATCGGAATTCATAATCGTCATTGATTTTTCCAGAAACTTCAACCAATATTTTCCAACAATTCAGTTTTCTAATTCAAGAAGCAATTAAGTAGAGACTCCAGGTACGTCTATATTTTGGAATTACTGCTGAGCGTAAAACCAAATACTCGAGTATATTCGTTATATATAAATTCACATATCTCATGAGACTCAACCCTCGAATATATTCCATTTTGCGTTGGAGGTGAGGAGGCTGGGGCTTTGTATATACGTGCGGGAATATGGGTGTGGGTTTGGCCCATTCCCTCATCTTCTCACCTCGGAGATTTCATCTGCGGCGTTCAGAATCCCAACACACCCCCCGCTAGTACGAGGGGCTAGCGAGTATGAGGCGAGAATTGGCCTGCAAAATTCTCGCGAAACGTCTGGCACTGAACTATTTATGAAGGCACAGCTCGTACCTCTCAACCCCTCGTTTTTCGCCCGAAGTACGCCTATGCTGCGTCAATTTTTTTTTTACTTTTCATTTTATTTTTTATTTTTATTCAAGCTCTTCCTCTCGTGCCCTCCTCTGGTGGTAGTGTCATGGGAGTCTGTGGATGTAAGACATGGAATTTATGTACGAGAGTTTCTCGTTGACATTTTACCATTGAGTTGCCATAAAGTGGAAGATTGTGAGTTATATTTTTCATATACATTTCCTTCGCAATCGACGTGGCCTCTTGGATGAGGGATAGAGGGGGTGGGCGAGGACTGGGGGGAATTGCGCGGAGGAAGCAACGATACTGAACATTATCCTTCTACTCCATTACCCGTGGTCCGAAGAAACATCTCTCCGCTGGGCTCTGCAGAGCGCAGGATGTGGCCTTCAACTGTCCACGTAAAATCCACGAGAAAGGATCACCTTAGTTGTACCGCTTGGCCTCGGCAATGCTGTATACACCGGGCCAAGCCTCATTGACTCCACCACCGATGCTTTCGAAACTTCCGGAATGGGGAGATTTATCGTCAGCCTCGAGGTTTTTGATTTATCTGCGTCTTCCGTTCACTTGATTCGTCTTCGGTGCACCAACTGCGGCTTGATGAAACAGAAAATTGAAATCGTCGGTCTACGATTGTGAAATGATAATTAGGTTTCGTTAGATTCTTTAGGTTGCGTTTCGGGTCGGGATAGTTCTGGACTTCTGTAATTTTTCAGGTTAGGAACGGTGGCAGGGGCTTTTTTAATGTTGGGGATTTTATTTTAATTTGAGATGAAGTCAGTTTTAGGTTTTTTTTCGTATGCTAGAGTATATGATCTTCATTGTTCTATTATTTATGGCACTGTTAGAAACAAAATTGAAATTTCATGGACAGTTCGGTTGCAGTTTTAAGAACAGTGACAGTAGAATTGATTTGGAGGAAATCACATCATCAAATTTCAAATATCACTGGAAATTTAAGCAAATTCGAATTAATTGAAGATTTAAGAACATATTTTCCTTGTTTTTATTAATAGTCATGAAGTTTCTTTGATTGCTTTATTAGATTATGAGTTTTACATGACGAAATTACTTGAAATTTCAGTGGAAATTCAATACAATGTTGAATTTTTCAGCAGCAGGACGAAGATTCCTCAAATAACTTAAATTTTCATTTGAAACATGAATATAGAAGTCAGTGAATTTAAAAATACATTCTCCTGATTTCCATTAATTTTCCTCCAAATATTGAACTCAAATTTATTGTTTCCATTGATTATTGCATTAAAGAGTGAAATTCAAATGACGAAATTCCTTGAAATTTCAGTAAAAATATCACTTGATAAAAATATCCAACAAGCACTGTTAGAAAGAAATTAAAGATCATGGACATTTTAGTTGTAGAATTCGATTTAAGAAACAAAAAATCATGAAATGTTTAATTTCATTGAACATTCAAGAGAATTTCAATTTTTTAGCAGCAGTACGAAAATTCCTCAACTAACTTCAATTTTCAATCACAACATGAATCTTTCGGACAGAATGACACTCGATCTCTGATTAATCAGCAATTCACAAATACATTTACCTGAATTATCTTGATTTCCTATAATTCTCATCGAATAATTGACCTCAAATTGATTGTTTCCATCGATTTTTTCATCAAATTGTGAATTTCAAACGAAGAAATTTCCTGAAAATTCCGTGAAACCGTCACCTACTAAAAATCTCCACCAATTGTATCAGTACAATACCATAGATACGCGTTCCACAGATTCATGAAACTCCCCAATCAATTACTCCAAAAAATAATCTCAACGCAATAATAACCCCCAAATAAACCGAAAGCAATCATTCCGCTCCCAACGCCCAATTCCCCTAAAAAAGAAAGCAGCATCAACAATTTGCAAACAAAATCAAGTCATCGAGAAGCCGAGAGCGCTCGGGTGCTACTTGAGGGTGATTGGCAAGCGTCTAATGTCCCACCAAAGTGTCTCCTCGACCATAAAAACGAAACGAGAAAAAGGCACGAGAGACGAGAGAAAACAGAGGGATGAAAAGAAAGCGCGTCGTATATATAATGCCTCTTCTTCTCGATTCGCCTCAAGTTGACTCTCAGACACTAGCCAGGTGTTCCATTTTAGACTGCCTTGCAATTAGGATAATTTCATTACGATTCGCATTACTGATTAAGAAATTTCCAATTCCGTGCACCATTCAGAATGACGTCATCAGCGTCACATGTTGACAATAGGGAAAAGAGTGGGATGAATACGGCTGAAAGTATTTGAGTATTTGATGTACGCAGGGGAGGGAAAAAAATTTAAAATACTCCTCTATTGACATATTTCTCGTTTCGCTGGATCCAATGGTGCTCGTTCCTTTATTCCTCGGCGGTTCACCTTGACAGGAGAGACAGGAAAAGGTTTTTATTCTCAAGCCCTAATCAAGAAGAGTAAACGCCGAGTGACGGCGGGGGATATTAGGGGGCAAGAGGTGGAGGGTGGAACGAGGGTAGTTAAGGGCTTGAGACCAACGAATCGATGTATTATCCCTGAGCGAAAGCCAGAGTCTAGTCTGTGTAGTCTATACGTCGTAACTCTGTGTACTTGCTGTATATATGTACGCAAAACGCACTCGAGGGTAGTTAGCCAATCGTACAGAGGCAGCCACACCGGATGAATGTCAATGAGGAAGAGACGATGGTTCGTGGCGTTTTAAAAAATTCTCATCCCAGTTGCTTTTTTTTATTTCCTCCATTCCTCCTGTGTCCCCCCCTGGCTCCGTCTGTTTCCTATCAGCGAGTCTCCTACCGTGATCGCTTGTTTGCGCACGAAAGACTCGACGATTGAAAATGCGCTCGTGGAATTTTATGAGTCTCAATGCAATTGCGTAGGAATTCGGGGTAATCAAAGTGGATTGAGTGTATTGCTCATTCAATCTGGAGGGTCGAGGGATGAACCGGGGGTTGGGGTAGCGAATAAATTTGAATTAATAAATTAAATGATTTGTCTCAATTACACTCGTGACCCCGAGCACAAGGAGAATTAGTCACTCCTTCTGGAGATTTTTTCTCTCCTTGTGCTTGACAAGTGCAATTCAATTTCAACTGCTGGATTATATTTTTTTTCCTTACTCGATTCAATATACATATACAAAGGACATGGTAAATTTATCGTGCGGTTGAAGATTTTGGCAGTAGCCTCGAGCCACACAGGAATCCCCCGTTGGCCGACTGGCGTCGCTCGTCGCAGAGCGATAAAGTTTTTTGCTTAAAAAGTCCCTTCCCGTTTAAGATATTCCAGTCTGGTCTAGCCCGGGGGTTGGCTAAAGCACCGGAGGGGAGGCCACTCTCCTGATATCCCATGGGATGAGATGCTACGCTTTCTCTGTGCTGTACAGCCTTATCTCCCTGCAGGCGACGCAACCCCCTTCATGTCTTCTTCTCTCACTTGCTCGTCCATTCTGCATGATGCCCTCGACACCGACGACTGCCCGATGAGAGAGCAGCACGACGGCCTCTCCTCTCCCACCTCCCTTTCAACCACCGCACGACACACTCTTTGTTTCCCAGCCAATTCGGCCCCTGCCGTCAGCCATATGCATTAACTTATTACGAATGTCAGGGCCATTCTTCCTGGTAAGTAGCCTTGTCGTCGGATTTCCTGAGTTGATGTGTCCACCAAGTGAATCTGTGGGGGAGAATGCGTCATTAACGAAGCGTTTAAACGTAATCAATTGAGTCAAATGCACTGAGAAACATTTGTTTTTTGATGAGTACGTCTTCATACGTATGAAGAAAACATCGTACATTGAGAACGATAAAACTTTCGTCAAGAGATTTTGTACTTCTACTGCCCCAAAGACGAGGATAGGAAAATTTTCTGTGAAGAGAAAGGAATTTCTCACATCAAGTCTAGTTGAATCAATTTTTTCAGTCGCTTTTAAGTCTGATATAAATTATTTAATGCAACAATCAGTTGACTTTGTTTGAGAAATCGATTGCTTGTTGTAGATAAATTGCCCCTCATCTTTCGGACAAATACAAAATTTCTTGCCGAAAGGTTTTGTCAATTTTCGAGTCATGAGTTTCTCGATACAAGTAAAGACGTACTTCTCGAAGAATTTTTTGTCTCAGTCCAGATGTCTTCTCCTGATATCATCGTGATATATCAAAGTGGAGAAAAATTCGCCATTCGATTTACATTTTTCCCTCGATATAAAATTAAGAAAATCTACAACTGAATTTCACTTCACGATTACTTGATTTGTTCGCTAATTTTCCCCACCTTTTTATTCGATATATTGATCAGTCTCGGCTAAAAAAAGAAATTCTTGTTTGGATCCGGACCTAACGGAATCCTGATCCAAATCCTCAAAGCACCTTCAGCTAGAATTCTCCTCGGGTCGATCTTCATCTGACCTCCGCATTGCCTTCATTGTGGAAGCTCCTCGCCACCTTGATGACCTTGGGACTACTTCCCCCGAAAGAAAACAATCATTTAAAACGATTCACCAGCACGCTTGGCAAAGCCCGCCCGACAAAAGCCTTCTTCCTCTTTGTGAGGTATCCGCTACGCCGGTAACCCTAACCGTCTGGAGAGAGGCGACACCGTATCTCCAAGTTGGATGTTTGCTCAGCTTGATTCATTTCCCTCTCCCCCTCTACCTCGCCAGCGAGTACTCCGTTGCCGGAAGCTTTTGGGTATGCCTCTAACACACGGTACCATATAACCCTGAGGGAAGCTACCTCTCGTTCACTAACCACTCAGCCAATATGCGACTTCGCCTACGTAAATGTTACAAATTGGGTTTATCCCGTTGGCCAAGCACTGGTCTACCCCATTGTACCTGAAACAATATGCAATTTCAAGGAAAACTTTCGTTCGTTGTTTCATGCAGATTTCTTGACTTTTCAATTTTCCAATTTTTCGGGGGGAAAGGACAACAACAAATATTGAAATCCACTTTCCCTTCCTCCTTGCTCAGTCCCTTTCATTCTCTGTCTCTCTCTCTCTGAGGAGGGTTGATGTTTAAAAGTCGAACAATATTCTTAATTGTCGAGGCAAAAGTTTCTTGTTCGATGCTCGGTTAACTTGGAACGAGAGAAAACTGTGAGGACGAGGGAACGTGCCGGGGGGTTGGAAGACCCCTCACTACTTTGGAACCAGAAAGAAACAGATGGCGGGTCGACGCGAGCAGAGGGCCGAGGGGGCTGGCTTAATTCGAGATAATTAAGCAGTGCCAATTATAAGTTGACAATCCGTTGGGACAGAAATGGTGATCGATCATAGCGCTGAAGCTGTATAACTCTGTTGCAGTTCTCCTATTTATCATTTCACTTGGCTGAAAATTTTTTCCTTCTCCATGAAATTGCACTTCGATTTTAGTGTCTGCGAACATCCAATTAGTCGGACAAATTTTTCTCCACCATGAGAGAGTATTTCAAAAGGTAACACCGGGCAGACAAGAAATTTTGATGATGGCCGGAGAGAGCCATTCGTCAATGTCACTCCAAAAACCAAAAACGAGAAGCAGCACACGGGAGTGCAGAGGCAACGATCTTTTTCTATGCTTTTAACAATATTATACGACATAGGGTATCCTCACACAGACCTAACACAACCCCTTTTTTATCTTCTTATTTAAGCTGCATCTGGCGTTACTCTCTGCTGGGGAAATACGTTTTTACGAACAATCTATCAACCCATCTCGACTCGTATAACATGAAAGCTAACGTTTATACTTTTCGCGACAGTCTTTCTCGTTTTTTTTTCATTTATTTATTTTTATTTGATGGAGTTGTGTAGCTCTCAAGAAGCCGGAAAGTCACTGTTCGTATTCACGTGTTTTTAGGTAGGAGTAAAGTATCTTTGCCTTTTACTCATGGGGAAGTCGCAAATTGTTATTCATCAAGATCACCTGACATGAAACAAGTATAGAATCAAATAATAAATATGATTATGAATATAGTAATGTTTTTTGTAAAATTACATGAAATACTCGATTTGGGGATAATTTGGATGAAATTGCCTAGTTTCTCGAGGAAAGAAAAGAAACTAAAAACGATAAGCAACACAAGAAATCGTTCGGAGGATAGTCTTTTTCTATGTTTTTCACAATATTATACGACACAGGGTATCCTAACAAACACCTGACACGCCCCCTTTTTTTATCCTCGTGTCTGAGCCAAGATATACATTTTGACAAACAATCATCAACCTATCTAGAGTCGTATAACGTGAAAGCTAACGTTCATACTTTTCGCGACAGTCTTGCTCGTTTTTTTTATTTATTTATTTTTACTTAATGGAGTTATGTAGCTCTCAAGAAGCCGGAAAGCAACTTTTTTTATTTCCGTTTCTTTAGGTAGGAGTAAAAGATCTTTGCCTTTTACTCACGGAGAAGTCGCAAATTATTATCCATCAAGATCATCTGACATGAAACAAGAATAGAATCAAATAATAAATATGATTATGAATATAATGATGTTTTTTGTCAAATCGTATGAAATACTCGATTTGAGAATAATCTGATTGGAATTGACTAGCTTCTCGGGAAAAGAAAAGAAACTAGAAACGATAAGCAACACAAGAGATGGTTTAGGGGATGGTCTTTTTCTATACTTTTCACCTAACACGCCCCCTTTTTTTATCGTCATGTCTGAGCGAAGAGATACATTTTGACAAACAATCTATCAACCTATTTCGACTCGTACAAACTGAAAGCAAACGTTTAGACTTCTCGTGACAGTATTTCTCATTTTTTAAATTTATTTTGATTTCATGGGGTTATGCAGCTTTCAAGCAGCCGGAAATCGACTTTCCTCATTTATCTTTTCGGACAGGGGGAAAGTATCTTATTTCTCTAACGTAGGATAAAATTTGATCATCATATATTAATTTTTACTAAATTTCGGGATAGAAATGAGGAAACAATGACTCATGATACGCTTTTATAGAACGGTAAGATAATTTGTATCAAAAATTTCTCTCCGCGTATCTCTGCTCGTACAACATGAAAGCCAACATCTATGATTTTCGAGACAGTCTTCTTCGTTTTTCATTCATTTTTACGCGATGTAGCTCTCAAAAAGCTCTCAAGAAATCAGCTTTTCGTATTTATCCATGTATTTTTGACTCCTAACTAAACGAGACAGAATATCCTTCGAGTGGTTGAGAAATAAGACACAAACGTAACATAAACGTGGAAGCAATTCTCTTGATGTAATAAAGGAGTCTTCCACTTTTATGTATCAATCTAAGGAAATATAACTGACGGTGTACACGGTAGTAATTCTCCCCCGGGGTTTTGAAGAGACCATTCGCTGTGACACGGAGTAAGGGAGAGAAAAAAAACCTGAAGAGATTATAAAAAACAAAGTGCTTCAACGGTGACCGTTGGTGCCAGACATTATACATACATTATGTATATGGATAAATGGAGAGGTGTGTCGGCTCTAAGTACGCGATAGACGTAAATTGAGATAGTGAAACGGTGGTGACGCAGAGCAAGCCAGTCAACGTTGAAGGAGTCCAATGCCACCAACAGGGTAGAGTCTAGACTGCGTGCAGGTAAACCTCCACCCAGGACGCTGAACGTGACATGGATATTATACTGATCCCGTTTATGGTTAGACGTCGTTTATAACCTCCTGGCGTTTAAACGTCCCCTTGCCCTGAAATATATATCTTTATCTTTATGATACTGTAATGTTTTTTCATTTTGTGATACGTAACAAAGTCAAAGCTGCTATCTTGATTCGTGTATGTGTGATGAAGAAAATTTCTGATGAGATTTCTTTACTGAGAGAATCTCGGTGATCTAAAGTTTCGGTAAGATGATGGTACTGATTAAACTCACCGGGGACTCGACAGACCTTGCCCTAGACGATCCAATGGACTGTAGTAACCCGTTGTATTCAGAGATTGCCTGGTTCATTCTTCCATGTTGCATGCATCTTTCACGCGTGATGTTTTTTGATGTTTTGGTATAAAAGTGGAAATAACGAACGGTGGGAGTAACAGGAGAAATGTCGGAGAGGGTTGATGACATAGAAATTTGATTCAAACTCTTCCTATTTAAGGATTTTATGGTTCACCAGTCCTTTGAAATCAGAAATGAAACTGGTTTGAATTCAAATTTGATAAAAATACTAGGATCCTATCTGTTTTTTTGTACCGGAGAATCAGAATCAGAATCAACTGATGCGCGTAATAATTTTCGTGATTGTGAGCGTTAGTAAGATGATGTTCCTGATTAAACTCACCAGGAACTCGACAGAGATTCCGCCATACGATCAAATGAACTGCAGTAACCTGTTCTTCTCAAAGATTACCTTGACTATTCTTTCAGACTTGAATGCATGGTCCTTTACTCGTAATGAGTCGTTACACCATGACAAGGAACAAATTTCCAGACATTTTTAGATAAGAACAGAAACTTCGAACAACCGGGATAACAAGAGAAACGTCTGAATGGTTTGATGACACGGAGGTTCGATTCAAACTCTTTCTATTTAAGAATTTCATGATTCAAGTAGTTGAGATCGGAAATGAAACTTGTTTCAATTCAAACCCGATGAAAATGCTGGGGTCCAATCTGTCTCTTTGTTCCGGATTCACTGGTGATTTGACGGGTGTGAATTGACTGATGTGCACAATAAACAAATCTTAACAAAATTCCTTTATTGAGATAATCTCGGTGATTGTGAGTTGCGGTAAGGAGATTATCCTAATTCAACTCCCCAGGGACTCAACAAATGTTCCCCTATATGTCCCCATGGAAAAATGTATAAAAAATATATATTATATAGACCAAATTAATATATCCTTCGAATATATATACGATTTATGTAAAATATATATGAAACATATATAAATTTACATTTATACATGGAAAATGATTCAAGTAGTTGAGATCGGAAATGAAACTTGTTTCAATTCAAACCCGATGAAAATGCTGGGATCCAATCTGTCTCTTTGTTCCGGATTCACTGGTGATTTGACGGGTGTGAATTGACTGATGTGCACAATAAAAAAAATCTTAACAAAATTTCTTTATTGAGATAATCTCGGTGATTGCGAGTTGCGGTAAGAAGATTATCCTAATTCAACTCCCCAGGGACTCAACAAAAGTTCCCCTATATGTCCCCATGGAAAAATGTATAAAAAATATATATTATATAGGCCAAATTAATAGGGGAGGGTGGGGCAAAACGGCCCCCCTTCAATTGTCAATAACTTGTGAATGACATTGTGAAAATTCCCAGTTTCAACTTCATTTTGAAGATAATTTTTCATTCTTCAAAACGAGCTCTAACTCATCCCAATCGGATTATTGAATCGGAAAATATTGACGATTGAAGGGGGGCCGTTTTGCCCCATCCTCCCCTATATCCTTCGAATATATATAAGATTCATGGAAAATATATATGAAACATATATAAATTTACATTTTATATAACTTTTATCGATAAATCAGGCCAGTTCTATATATAAAATTTATAATTTTCAGAATATAAATTTTTTACGAATGGGCGATCAAATAAACCGGACAGAGAAAAAAAGTTTTCGGTTTTCAGCAAAGGTTCTGGTTCTCAGGAATTTTTTTTGAAATCCATTACCTAAAATACTTAAATCATTGCACTTTGATTCTGGAATTCAGGACTAGGGGTTCCTAAAAAAAGAACCGTTGGGTATCGAAATCACGAACTCCGGAGTTCTTAAAACATGAACCTTGCGGTTCTTAAATTGATATTCTTGTCTCCTCAAATGATCAGCATTAATTATGGTATCACATTACAACTCGGATAACCCCCCCCTCGCTTCGTCACGAATCGTCCCAAATAACAGAACTCCCCAACGGTTCTTGTTTTAAGAACTTCGTATTCTTGATTCCAGTACCGTAGTTCTGAAATTCTGTACCGTGATGGTGGAACCCAAAAACTTTTTTCTCCATGTATAGTAACCCGCCTTACTCAAAAACTACCCCGACTATTCTTCCCGACTTTAATGCATGGTCTTTCACTCGTGATGAGTCGTTGCACCGCGACAAGAAATGTACCACCGAATGTTTTAAAATAATAATAGAAACGCCAAACGACGGGGGCAACAGAAGAAATGTCTGAGTGAGTTGGATGGCACTGGGGTGTGTGCTCGGTGATGCCGCTCATTCTAGTATGGACCCCGTAGTGTAAGAGAATCGTCGGAGATGTAGTAACGCAAAGGAAAGAGAAGAATAAGAGGGAAAGAGGAAGTGAGAGGCAGTAGGAGAGCTCCGCCCCGCGAAATATGGCGAGCTTCGCCAGGACGTGATTGGGTGACGGGAGGACCCCGCGGCTCGCAAGCCAAGACATTGGTGCCTCTCTCTGTAGCTTTCCCTCTGCCACCCACGTTTATATCCCTCTTACCGCTCTTATACTCCTCGCTTCACTTGCGCTAGACCCTGAAAATATTCTCGCCTATTGTCTGGGGTATGAGTGTGAGACTGTGTTAGGGTGGGAAAAAAAGAGGGAGGATTGGTGGTGGAAGAATGGCTAGTGGTGCGACGCTTCAGGCACTATTTGGTACCCGACTATCTGGCTCTGGAGGCCAATTCTCTCGCAGCAACCAACTGCTCAACGTTGCTCCCACCGGTGAACTCACTGTTATTTTCATCATCCACTTACGGAGTAAAATCGCAGGAGAGGAAAATAACGCAAATCCATGACGTGACTCCGGCTAATGCAATTTGTATTCAACTTGGTGAAATCCATTTACTTCAGTCTGGAAATTGATCGATTGGTTCTCTCTTTTTTTCTTTGGTTTTCGCACAATTGAGGATTAACTCGGCAGTGTACTACAGGTGGAAACCAAGTACTCTCGAATAAAGTTGCTCACCTGGTGGTTTAGGATAGAGAGGGGCTTTGGGTATCTTGCGCGGTGGTGGCAGTAGTCAGGGGCTGTGGGTTGGTAGCTCCGTTTGTTTGCGGAGGGTGCAGATAGATTAATCATCCGTTAAGCTCAAGCAAGACGTGTACGGTGGTGGCGTTGGTTGTGCTGGCTTAATCCACCGTACAAACCCCTTCCTCTTCTCCTACACTTCATACCTCAACCCACAATTCCTCACAGTATACCCACTGTGGCCTATACACCTTTCTCTTCACGCTTCGAAGCTGATGCTCTTACTCGGTGGCGACCCTTTTCTAGTGTTTTAGGAGGAGACAGCGGGGGTAGTGGGTTGGGAGATGGGGAGTATACATCTAACTCGCGACGAGATACATCCACTTGGCTACGTGAATTGTCTGACTTGCTGCTTCTTCAAGTTAATGGATACTATCTACCAAAGTGACAAATTAAAGCCAGAATTGGATGAACTCCGGTGAACTTACACGTCTCCGGTCTTATCACAATTGTGCCACTGGAAAAAAAAGATCGTTTCAATTTGAATAAATGTGGAGTTGGGGATAATCGTGATAACGCGGTTAAAGTTTAAGGGAATTATGAGTAGAGTTGAATGAAATATTCAAATTGGGTTTGTTTATTTTTTCTAGCAACTGGGATATTTTTGATGCTTCAGGAAAAAGCACTTGGGGAAAATTACAGCATTCAAGGGGCCTTTGAGCGCTACGTTTGAGGGTATTTTCATGTTTTCTTTGATACATTATATTCCCTGGATTCCCACGTGAGTGGAAATATCAGATGTACAAACGCTATCGTTCTTTCAAAGGATAATTAGAGATCAGTCAAGCTAGACGCTCCCTCAATGCTCCCTTTTGCAAATGGCATGACTGGGATGACAGTATTATGCAGTTCCATCGCGATGTACATAATACTGGGGAGAGATCCGAAAGAATATTCCAGGTAAATAGAAAATTTAATCACTGTTGCTTGAGAAGGAAGCAGCTTTGGAATTCATGGAAAATTTTTTACAAATAAATGTAGGGTGTGTGTATTGATTTCATGATTCAAGCAGATAATTCAAACTTGATAGAAGTGCTAGGATTCTATCTCTCTCCTTTGTATCGGATTGACTGGTGATTGGTGATTTGACTGATCAAAAATCACAATCAGAATTGGGATTGACTGATGTGCACAGTAAATAAATTCTTAACAAAATTCCTTTATTAGGGGAGGTTGCGGTGAAACGGACACTTTTGACTTTTTTTAAATTTTAATGAGGTGCTGAAATATTTTGATAAAATTTAATAATTTTTTTTTTCAATACAAAGAACAATTCAGTAGCGAAGCGGTAAACCGGGTTAAGTCGATTTTTACTATTGGCTAGTTTTTGACGAATATCTCGGAATCTAAAAGAGATAGAAAGATTTTTGTCAGGACCTTTTTTGTAGAGCCAATAGAGCGATATAAAAAAAATTGTGAGAAAAATTTTGCTATCTCTCTTAGATTCCGAGATATTCAGCAAAAACTGGCTAATAGTCAAAATCGACTTAACTCGGTTTACCGCTTCACTACTGAATTCTTTCCCTTTGTGACGATCCTAAACTGAAATTGACCAATTTGTTTCTGAGTTATGAATAATTTAAAAAAGTCTAAAGTGTCCGTTTTACCCCGCCCTCCCCTAAAATAATTTGGTGATTGTGAGTTTCAGTAAGATGATGTTCCTGATTAAACTCACCAGGAACTCGACAAAGGTTCCCTCATATGATTAAATAAAC